GAAGTAACAAAGTACAGGACTAGTGGGATTCAACAATTAATGGTTAGACAAATAAAAGAATTTATTTAAAAAGTGAGATAAGTTGATTATTTAAATTGTAAATAATTTACCTGACATCCAGGTTAACTTATATTTTCAGCTAAGTTATGTAGGTGAGAAGATCTAATTAGTGAACCAGCAAATTAGGGTAATCTTCCAAATAAGTTACTCAATAAAACTGATAATCATTATAATAGAAATAATTGTATATTAGTTGATCTTAACATTAATTCCTGACCAATAACAATTCCTTATTTTCAATGTATTTCTACAGTTAAATAATTTACAATGAACTTCTATTGTAAAAATTACTTATAGTTCATTCCTGATGTAAAATCATTAACATTTATATTACAAAACTTGAATTCCAAGTCAATAACTTTTATCTGAATTCCTGACAACAGACAATTCTTTAATTTCTGTCTGAATTTACGGGTTGTGAGATTATTGTTATTTACATGAAAACTATTATCCTCATCTTTGTTGTTATTATCACATTTTTACTATTGTTCCCTCTGGCCTTCCTTAGGTGCTTGTCAATTCAAAGAATTCACATCTGAAACCTTTGTTTAATTTACAGAATAGATAATTGCACTGACCATAGCAGACAGGTTAGGCCTAAGGTTCCAACTTCTACACTCAGAATTGTCTCACAGGACAATAGCCTGGTGGATTAAAGTATTGGTTCATGAATTTGGAGACATAATTGTGAGTTTTGAGCAGTGCAAACTTGGACTCAGTAGAAATAGAGTAAGGTGTAACTGAGCATTACTAAGAATAAGAATGAGCTGAGATATCCCTAGACAGGGTAAGCAAAATGAGAACAACCTACTCCTGTAGATTAAATAAAGGATTCAGTTTGAACTTCCCTGAAGGCTACCTGGATTGACAAGTGCCTAATGAAAGCTGAAGGGTAAAATGGCTGAAACATTGTAGTAGTAGTAGAAATAATAATAAAGATGAGGACAATAGGCAGTATAAAAATAGTGTAACAACTCAAGCTTTGATTTTTCAATGTATTTCTATTCATATGGATAACAGTAATGAGGCAAAAAAGTTCACAAACTAAGATAGGTGTTGAGACACAAAAGGGTAGCAGCATTCTGACTTCAAGACAAGGAAGAACAGAATTATGGCAAATGAGACCAAGAAGCAGTATATCTTATTGACTAGAGAGAAATACCAGCATGCATCTGTAGGATTTCTCTATAAATTTGGGGAAGGGTAGGTTTTGCAGTCATTCTTTCTTGGATTGGAACCAACAATATATATATATATATATATATATATATTTTCATTATTATGGATATGAGTTTGTGACCCTGTGTTTCATGCTTTTGTGTCATCCCAAAATGGACACAGAGGGGGATTTCCCCCTCCCACCACCAAACATAATGAAACACACACACACACACACACACACACAAAAGAAATGATAATATTGTAATTTTTTTCTGAATTTCTGGGATGAAGAGTTATTTAAACTATTTATATTCAAACTATTGTCTTCCTCTTTGTTGTTTTAATCAAAACATTTTGCCTGTTGAGCCTCAATGCTTTCCTCAGGTGTATATCAATCTGGGAAACCTACAGGTGATTCTGAATTGAATTTAATCTACAGAGGTGGACTCTTCTTGTTCCATTGCTCATGTCTAGGTATATAGTTTAGTTCTTATTTTATTTAGCACTATTCAGTTATTGCTCACCTGTTCCCACTGAGTGCAAGTACACACAGACCAACTTAAGGATTGAACTCACAACTACTAATAATATTACATCTTAAGAAAAATCACTTTTCCATTTTGTGCCCCTTATTATCTTAAATCTGACCAAAGTTGGTTAAGTTAGCATTCAATTTCACTTGAAATGCTTAAATTAGAGTATCTAGCAATGCTTTTTTTTCAGAGGCAAATAATTAATATATTGACAGTCCTCAAAAATGCTACAACAAAAACCTGATACTTGAGATGCCACCCAACAACTTAAAATTTTGTTTATTTCTACTGCTAGGAGAATAAAAGAAGCAAACTATTTCGAAAAATTCAGCCCAAATTTCTAAAATGAAGAATATGATTATGCATTGTTTATTTAGGATGTCCTCATCTTGGTTGTTTCAAACTTCTTCTGGAAAGAAAAGACAGTACATCACTGATGCCAAATTTTCACTATCTGATTATCCAATGGAACATTGGCCTAATGAAAATGAGTATTAGTTAAGTATTGGAGTTAGGAGTTCAATCCCTGGACCAGATAGTGGAATTTCAGTAAATAAGCACAAGTGACATCACAAGGTAGAAATAACAAAATGTTATAAAATAAAATAAGACATATCTCGGCTGATTTGCAGGCAAATAAATTAACATACTCAAGAGCGAGAGCCGGATGTGAACGGGACAAGGCCCCATCACAAAATGACCATTATCGTTGTTTACGCATATTCCCGATGCGCGAATTCCGGTTGAAAAATAAAATAATATTTTAAAGTGTTTCTATTTTTCGATGAATAAAAATGCTTCCCTCCTAATTATACTCACAATATTTTATGAGCCTGTTAAGCCATAAAAAACACCATAAAAGGGGTCACACGGGGAAGTACAATGGCAGTCAACAGGAGGCCAGGGAAGAGATTGGTCATGGTCGGTCTGAGCAGTCAGCAGCAGTTGTGCCATGCCAACCAGCGAGAACTACTATGAGAGATCAACCCAGGTCGGCAGCCGGCTTATGAACTATACCACAAGGTAGCTGTCCCAAAACCACACATACCTATTGAAATAAATCACGTATATCTATTTCTGCTGTTGTTGTATTTCTTTCTTGCAACCATACGCTTGTCTATAAGAAAAATAATTAAGGTGAGTTATCTCTCCTAACAGATTGACATGAATTCAATTCCAATTACATTCACTTTCACAAAAATACCCTTGGAAAGGTACGACTCCATTTCTCCTCACACTAGCTAGGCATGAAATGCAGAGCAAACATGGCTCCCTAGTTTTGGTCAGAGGAGGATAACTTTGAATTCAAAACTAGTTGGGTATGCAACTAGCAACTCCACCGCATAAAAACCTACTTGTTACAGACACCACAGCAGCAACACAGTGTCATGGTCAATACTTCACAGGTAATTCTACCAGATTAATATATGTAGATAGATAATAAAAGAAGAACAACCCATCCAAGTGAATTGAATAAAGGGTTCTGTTTGAAATCCTAAGAACATCAGTAAACATAGACACAAGAAGAATGTATAATGCCCAAAACATCATGATTATAACCACCTAATTGAGAACAATATTTTGAATAAATCAGTGTATAATAAACTTGCTTTGAAGAAAATAGGGTTCAACAATGTCTTGTGCAAATATGTTTCTTTATATGTGCTTGCGTCTTCTCTCTCTCACTCTTCCCCAAGTCTCTTGTAGACAGTTGACTTTATAGGTACTTACTACCTATAGTGTAATCATTCATGGGGGTGATTGGTTATCCTATTACATCAGTCATATTGCTGAAAATATTTTTGCACACATACATAATTTTCAACATTTCTGAATATCTACATTTTATACTAAGAAAAGGTAGCCGTGCAAAATGGGAGCCTCTTCTAACTTTCAGACTGTCTCCTGCAACAGGAAAGCCTGCCTCTTCCTTGTGACCTCACCCGCCCTGCAACAAATGTGGAAAAAAAAACACAATGTTTGTTCAGTTCAGGAATCCAAGCCATGATGTGTACTGGTATATATATTTTCAAATACACCTGAACAGCTGGGTTTTTTTTTTGTTTTTTTTACATGCATATTTATGTAAACATACAGACGCATGCAAAAGCATATACATACGTAAATGTACTTATCAAGAATCAGTGAGACAGGAAATTCAATCAAATATGACCTAGAATCCTTGTTCATAAATTATCATTCTTTGACAATCATCTCTACTGCCTGAATGGAAAGGAGTATAAGTAAAGGCTGGTACAAAATGATGAATATGATTCCTACTGTTGGAGACTGCTATAAAATTCTGTCAATTATTTGTTAACTTGCTAGTGTTACATAGGCACAATTCTCTCAATTCTTTTTTTTTTTTTAACTGAAAAATAATAACCAGCCCCATAAAATTTTTGCCCCAATATTTCTGGGGAAAAATTACTCCTCAATTTTAGGGATTTAAATTTTTATTTCCAATGATTTATCTTCTATCAAAATTATCATTTTACTAATGATAGCAACTGTGTCTTATTACAGTATAATGTTTAGCAAGTTAGCCTCAGTCATCATACCATATGCATTATACTTGCAGTCTTTTGTCTTAATAAATAGACTTAATGCCAATATAAAAAGTTACAATTTTTGTTGTAAATTAGAAAACTCACGGACCAGTATATTTAATACATATCTCTAAATTTCATGTTCTTTCAGAGCATAGGAAATCAAGGCTCTTCATAGCTTTCTTCTGTTAACATTTATAAATCTTATATGATTATCCTTAAAAAAGGACAGCAGTTTCCCCATTGTTTTTGCATGGTTTTTAAGTCAAACTTGTCATTTTTAACTAGCTGTCAATTGAGATTTGCAAGGATACAAACTATCTTGCTATTTAACAACAGGGTTTGGCAGAAATGGTAGATTCATGCCTTTCCCAAGAGTATAAGTACAAATTGAACACAAATTGTCTTATCTATAATTCAATTGCTTGATTCATTTTCTATGGCTTATCAACCTTTTGCCAGTTATTTAAAGCCAGAAACTATTTTGTTTAGATGGTAAGAATTTTTTTTATTTTTAGAGATAATAATGATTTAGTGATACAAGACTTACTAACTGATCCATAGCAGGGGGGATGTAGAAGAGGTAGATTCATGCCTTTCCCAAGGGTATTTGCATGTAAGTGAATATGACGAACTTAACTGGAATTGGACCTTGGCTCTCCAATTAACAATTTCAAAGCATTAATCCCCATCCAAGCTTACAGTACCTGACATTCTCAAGCAGTCATTCATCTAGGTTCTAACCAGGCTCAATGTCGCTTAACTTTGGTGATCGTATAGAAACTGGTGTTTCAACTGGATATGGCTGTAAGCCCAGAATTTGAACTCAGTTCATTGATGCTTTCAGTTTCTGTGCCATTAACCATTGCTCTATGCACACATTCCCCGGAGCATAAACAGCTTCTCTGTTTAGATCTTGAAGAATACCCAAATTTACAGTTTTCTATTTACATAAAAAAAAGTGAAGATGATGAAGAAAGAAAAAAAAAAAAAAAAAACAGTTTGAGATAAAAAGAATTCAAGGGCAGGGGAAGAAAGAATTGGAATTTTCATTCAAGAATCTTAAATTTATAACAAATGGAACTGAAAAGCAAAACTTTCTTGGAAAATGTGACAAAAATCGGTGGTATGTGCCATTTTACAATTGACATAAAGGCTATATATATATATATATATATATATATATATATATATATATATATTATTGTGTATGTGCAATACTTAGTGGAAAGTGCTCAATATCAGTGGTAGTTAATATCCTGTTGTATGGATATGAGTTTTCATGCTTTTGCAATCATCAGACAAACAAGGAGTTTTCTAAGTATATATATATATATATATATATATATATATATGGAGAGAGAGAGAGAGAAGTAGACTTTTATCCCTTGTGTCCTATTTATGATTAGGTTTCTGGTTCCTTCTAAAGTCTTTTTTATTCTCTCCCAGTAACCTTTTTCATTTTAGTGGAATCATTGCCTTTGTTTGGGATGCATTGATTACATCTACATCATATATACTTGCATATCATGCAACTTTTGAAGTTAATTTTAAGGAGATTACATCATACATGAAATGTAAAATTAGCATATGTACTGCTGGCTCTGGCTATGTCATTGATCAAACTATATTTATTCACTGTAATCAAATTAGCTACAAAATTAGAGCTTAAAAGCTCGCATGCTATACAAGTGTATATGGTGTGTGTGTGTGTGTGTGTGTGTATATATACATCATTCAATTCACCTGAAGATCACATGAAACTCGAGTTACAACTAGGGCCATCCTTTCATAGGAATTAATGTTGTCAAGCGTTTTTGTAGCTATGTCAAGGCAATCTAGATGTTCAGCACTTCACTGAGTACATTGGGGTTTACCTTTTGAGAGTTTACCTTGTTTAAGGGTATTTAGGTTTTTGGCAAGCTGTCCATTGGTTCTACCAATGGTTTTGGTTTTTACTTTAATATATATACAAACACCCAAGATTAGATCAATTTCTGTTATCTGAGAGTTATTAAATGATTTTGATCTGAAATTTTCATTGTATAATACTTGTTCAATATGATAAATAAAGAAATACTAGGTTAATTGCTTTAACAAGAATGAGATTATGTTGAAAAATATTCATTGTGCAAAATAAATACTTTTTCATCATGAGGCCAGAGATTTATTGATGCACCTATGTATATGGAACAATCTCTGTAGAGAGATGGGAGAAGATCATTTTCATATTAACGAATTTGAGTTATTTGACAAATATATTATGGTCACCCATCTAGGTGCTGACCAAGCTTGATGTTGCTTAACTTCAGTGATGATAGAGGAACCTTTGTTTCAATGCGATGTGAACAATGCCACTACTAATAAAATAGAACAATTCCAGCATATTCCTGTAATAAGTTATGTGATATATAGACATTTGTTTTTACGACAGATCTTAGAAACTTCATCATGCAAATTATTTATTTATTTATCAAGTTGAGGATTTTCACTTTTTCACTTAAATGAAAAACTTTATGGTTTCTCTTTGACACACTGGAATTACCACAATTCCTACTCTTTTACTTTAGTTCTGCTATTAAGGAAAAGATATGTATTGTTCATTTTTAGGTTTGATAACGCTTACCTGAAACCATAGAAGGTAAAAACCACAGATAAGGAAGAAGCCCTGTATGATGAAAAAGGTGAATGGGCAAAACAGACCAAGAAAGATTGACCTTATGTACATATATACATAAATGGTGATTGTCACATCTTACTCAGATAAGAGCCACCTTCTCACCACCTCATATAATTTGTGATGGCTCAACATCCATAGTCCCTAAAATATTTCTTGCAACTAGAATAGGTATATATGACAAATACACTGAATCTTTAATTGGATTTGCATGCCCTACAACTCTCTTGTGTACCACCCTGTACCTGCTCAGTCTAGGTGATGATTTGATAACCTTGTTACAAACAACACATGTACTGCTGAAAGGATGATGATGTAGGTGGACATAGTTGGCTTGCTTCTGGTTGTTATGTTGACCTTTCAGATGGTTCACATAACCTGCTCGATGAGAGCAAGCACTCACATACCATATTTCCAAGACTACATATTAATTGGCCAAACAGAGTGAATGCCTCTTTGGAGATTATGTTTAATCTAAGCATGTGTGAAAATTTCATCATCAAAGGATACATACATATCTCTATATACATACGTATACTTTTAGAGACAATGGAAAGGAAAATAACACTTATACTTAAAAAAAGAAATAGACATTTGCAATTTCTAGGGCACATCATGATGAAAGGCGGCTTAGAAAATTTAACACTGTTTGAAGGCTGACAACATCTGTGCAAACACAAAGTCAGAAGTCAGCATGACCCCAAGGGTTTGAGAATACTGGCCTCGTCCAAACTGTTGATCACATCACTCCAGATTATGTACGTTCTCATAGAAACTATAACACTAACTCTGCTCTGGTCAGTATAGTAGCTACTAGCAGTGGGAATTAGAAGTAGTCTCTGTGGATGTTGAACAAACACAAATTTGTCTGTGCAGGCTTCTGTATCAGAAATTGATTAGACACCTTAGCAAATGGGTGTGCTTGGAAACAATTAATTGGCCAGTATATATATATATATATATATATATATATATATATATATATATATATATATATATATTCATACATGTTTCATTAAATAATATAGACAAGTGTTGTCTATTTATTTTATGTACATTTTTAAATAACGTCTGATAAGTTTAATAACATTATCGTTGAATGAAGAAAAGAAATTCACAATATTGATCCATATTTTTTTTTTTTAATAAAATCTAAGCTTTCGGCTTACATAAGCCATTATCAAAGATGTCGATTCCAACATATTAAGCAATATACGGACAAGACAGTGATGATAGTCTGTCATTGTTTACATAGATGATTTCTAAGCAATGATAAATACGTGCATATAAGACGCTAGAAGTGAAAATCGCACCACATCTCATGACGTCACATGAGAGTGAATTGGAGAAGTATGAAGTATGGAAAGCCGTTGGTATAAACCAATGGCTTCTGTTACCAATTATAGACATTTAAGAATATTTGTAGAGATGCCATAATTGATTTTGTTTTGGTTGGGTTTCAAATGTTTGATGTATAATGCTTCAAGGATTTTTTAGTTTTTTTGTCTATTGTTTTCATGTCAAGTATAATTGTGTTTTCGACAAGTATTTTACAGAATTGTAAAAAAGTGGGCAGGCATGTTGTTTTAAATGCCTAAAAATGTTTATTTATATATATATATATATATATATATATATATATATATAGCATGGAGAGAGAGAGAGAAGGTTTGTTGACGGTTGCTGATGATTATACATCTAGCCTGTATGAAACTATAGTTAAAACTAACCAAAATGATATTGAAAATAATATTTTCGTTCTGCCATTAGGTATAGAACACTATTTTGGTGTACTATAATGCCATTCTTTCCAGAGTGATTTTCTCTTACTACTTTATGGGAATCTAGTAATCTCAGAACTGTTGAACACTTTTTACATAACCATTCCTGTACTGATGATCCCATAAAAGTGAACGTTTTTTGTTTTGTTTTTTTGTTGAAGACATATTTCTTTTGACATTCTCTTTATTTGTTTCCTTGTTCACTAAATACTGGTTTTAGCATCTCTGTCAGCCTTGAAATAATAACAGTAGCATCATTTTGTTTTGCCCAGCAGTGATTATGGTCAGCACTGAGTATCTATGCTGACCAACTATAGTAAACCATATAGGGTTAGCATTGGCAGAAATAAATACCTCTGACACCAGGACAATTTTTTTAAAATCAAATTCACCCCAAGCAAGGCAGAAAACTCATTAAAACTTGAGGGCTTACTAGGTGTGAAAGAATTAGAAAAGAGAAAACTTTATGAAGGAGTGAGAACAAATAGAAAGAGTAATCAGGAAGACAAGAGATAGCGATTGACATTGCATTTAAATTTTTGAAGACCAAAGTTGGCCAGAAAGCATGGAACCAGAAGAAAGTTCCACAAGAAAGAAGTGAAAGAAAAGAAACTGTTAGCACAGAACTTATGGTTATATCTAATCAATTCAACTGTGAATTGGTGAGATCTTGATGCCAGTCTAGTACTGCGCTTAAATTCAAAAAGTCTAGGTACCATAGGGAAGAGCTCACCCAAACAATTACCATAAAAGTATTTATAGAAAAGGCAGAGAGAGGCAACTTATGGTGGTGGGAAATTCACTGAAGCTGAGACACCAAGTCAGGGCAAATAATATTCTTGATTCTTCTTTGGATTTTATCAAGAATCTTTAAATATTTATTTATTTTTACTATAAGGTTCACCCTGTACAAGACCCAGTGGCAACTTGAGGTAGAAGGTCAAAGAGTAAGAGGCAGTTTATGCAGATAAGAGGGGAAGATAACAGTTAACCCTAGACTTGAACAGGTTAAGATCGTAGGGATTGGGGAAGCATCCTCTTGGGAGTCGGTTCCACAGAGCAGTGATTCGCAGGAAGAAGCTGTTCTAGTGAAACTTACTTCTATCATTGGAATACAGAGGGAATGATGGTTGTTTGCTACAATGTAAGTGGCATGGTTGATCATAACTGTGAAGGTTAGAACAGACAGAAGCAAGGAATGCAGTCTGCTTGAGCACCTTTCCATGGAAGTAGTGATAGAACAATGAGAGGCATGCCACACCCCACCTGTGAGAGAGAGGTTGCAGGGTGGAAGGCATCTAATGAGTATGAAATTGTAGTTTCAACTGACCAAAGTGACAATACCATACTGT